CATCTGTCCAGTTAAAACGTAATAAAGCATTTTTTGTTCAATTTCTTACGACGTTCTATCGTGGACGGGTTGCTCAGACACACAGTTGAATCTCTGTACACCTTATAAACGTAAACCTCCAACTAGCAGCCGTCTGACACGGACAAATGCTGTGAATAAAAAGCACACTTTTACTTACATTACATAGATATGATTACCTATATCTAGAGAGAAAGAGTATTATATACAGTATGATGAAATAGAAAATAAAGAGACACCTTTTCAATGCGCCTGCGTGTGACTGTTGTCATTTTGTGTGCTGTTTGCATGTTAAGTTAGTAGAGCTCCCATACCCAAACACCGCTGTGTCGACCTGCTGATCTGTTTGGATTTAGAATTGAATTTTCACAGGTATAAATGCAAACATGACGGCAATTGGATCGATATTTTCCAGGGACAAATTGCTGCCAAATCAAAACCTTTAGGAAGTGGACAGGAGCTGCTAATGGTCAGTTAAATGGGCTTTTCCAATTGTATTTATTTTAAATAAGATATTGATGGGCACTTGCCCTGTGCGGCATCTCAAGATGCTAATTAGACAACCTGAAGATTGCACGGGTGTGCCTTAGAATGACCTCACGAAAAGGCCACTCTTAAAATGTGCAGTTTTATCACACAGGGATGCTCTGGATTGGTGTAATGCAACAGCATGTTACAGTTCCGACCAAGGAGGATGAAGTGGACTGACATTTCAAAGGTCACATGATAGTGGCGGTATTCAGAGGTGGATGCAGTCGGGTAAGTCCCCATTTTTTTGCTCGGGACTCAAATGCACGGCTTAAACACTGCTGAGATCAAAATTATGTATCCATACTTTACTATGACGGAAATAACACTTCAAGATACTCTTCAAGTAAGCGTAATGACTCTGAGCATCGCTGTTGGATGCCCATTTTCGCAAAGTTGCGTTCATCCTTGTCGACACTTAGGATGATGAAGCACACCTTCCACTTGGCGCAAAAAGCAGGAGAGAAGATTTAGTCACCTAACGAGGCTCATGCGGAAACAAACCAATGCAATTAAACACTTACTGTGTTGTCTATTTATGCTGATGGTGTTCAGGAGAGACACGAAATGCCCAACGAGTAGATCTGCATTAAATAAGCACGAGTGTTTCTGTAGGACTCTTTCAAGAGACGTGCAAGCAACATCCACGAGGTGCCATCCGGCAGCTCAAACGAGCACACAGGCTTTGCAAAACTGTTGTTCTTCAATATGGTTTTTTTTTTCCTCTTTTACTTCAGTGGTTGCACTTCATTGCACAGCTTTTGTTATTATCGAGGCTGAATAGCAAGCCAAGCTGTGAGTGTAGGAAGGAATGAATGAGGAGCTCAGATACACCTGATGAATATTCATCATCATTCATCATTCATGGGGCTCCGTGCCATCGTCATAGAGATTAGAGTGGATGACAGGATTACGGACAGGGGGGTGGGAGAGGGGGGGTGTACTGTGCGTCACTCTGCTTTTTGTTACCTTTGACTTCCTGTGGTCACTCACGTCCAAGTGCCTCCCAGATTTCCTGTTGCTCAGAAAAATTCCATGTTTCATTCCACATATTCCTCCATTCTTTTCTATTTATTTATTTTCAATTCTCCGTGATCCTTTTAAGCCCTCACATTTGTCTGTTTGGAAACCTCCCATTGAGCAGTATGGCACTGTAGTAATTGCTTTCTTCAGCTCCATTGGCCCAATCAGAGAAAATTGCCTTTTATGCAAATAGCCCATAAAGCACACTGAGCGTTTCCCAGCATGTATCCCTCAAGAATCCCACATCAGATGATTTTTTTTTTCTGTTACAGCTGACAGCAGCAACTCAGTGTACGCTTTCTTTAAAAGTATAACAGCCGTTTTCATTCAGAAACGTTAATGTCAGTTAACTCATGGTCATTTGTATGTACAATGAATCTCGAAGTATAGACGCCCCCCACCCCCCGCCCTCCATCGGCCTCAGAATGATTATTTTTTCCTATGTTGCAGTCAGTTTCATATTTTGTGGTTGTGGGCCCCTTTTCCCTCTTACCCTTTC